GTTTAGGATATTTTCAACTAACGATGTGTTTATTGGGATATATCCCCATCATATGTTAAGGAACATAAATCTAACTTCATTCAATTTTAATAATTTTTTTTAGGATGACATTGTCTGCCCTCCGTTATTTAATTTCAAATGAATTTTCATTAAAAGCAGCTTAATCTGACTTAAATTATAATGAACATTGTCATATACCTGTAATATCTTGTATACTTTTACATTTTTACATTTTGATGTGACAAAGCCATTTAATTTTCAAATTTCTCCCTTAGATTGGCCGTTTATTAGGTTGTTCCAGAGTGGTGGGAATTTGTGGAACACGTGAGAAATGCATCCTTTTGACCTCAGAACTGGGCTTTGATGCTGCAATTAATTATAAAAAAGAGAATGTGGCAGAACAGCTCCGTGAATCATGCCCAGCTGGAGTGGATGTTTATTTTGACAATGTCGGCGGTGACATCAGTGATACAGTGATAAGTCAGGTTGTTTGCTGATTTCTATTACAAATTTGAATACTGCATTTTATATGTTATATTTTTACCTAATACTGAAAAAAATTTATAAAATCGGAGGAATTATTGTGACATAATGTGATGATCAGTATTATATTTAAGTGATACAAAGGAGCTTGCTGGTATCTACTTCCATTCACTTGCAGATTTGTACTATGAACTTCAATTTCAGTTATTTGCATTTTCACTTTTGGTTTATTTTTGTGAAAAATTACATTTGCATTGTTGAAATGGTGAAGTTCTGACCCCTAACTCACCACTGACCAACTCACAGCCATGGCCCCAGACCTTGTATAGAGAATGGGTTTCATAGACTGCATGTATTTATGTATATTTACTAACAATATTATAAAATATCAACATGAGGTATTAACACTACATAGTCCTTTGCTGCATGTAAAATTATTTACAGTTGATAATAAATTATTTAAATCTAAAAAAATACAGTTCTACCACTAATAAGTAGCAACAACAACTAATGTAATTCTTTTGCTGATTACCAAACATTTATTTGCCTCTATGTTCCTTTGGAATGTAATTATTTCAAACTACTTAAAATTCTTAAATACCTCTAACAGGTAAATCTTAAAAAAAAAATTGAATTAGTTGACAAAAAAGGATGAATAGTCAAGGAGGCTTTCATTGTGGCAGCTATAAAATCAGTACACATACGAAAGGGATATTTTATCATCAGTTTTCTCTATGCAGATGAATAAGAACAGCCACGTCATCCTGTGTGGTCAGATTTCTCAGTACAACAAAGATGTGCCTTATCCTCCCCCGCTATCCACTGCTATAGAGGCAATCCAGAAAGAAAGAAACATCACAAGGTGTGTTCTTCCCCTTTGCCCTTATTACCAGGTTCAAGGGGGTTTAAATATCATAGATGTGTATGAAATCTATTGTTCTTCATAGATACTTTTTCTTTATTAAATAAAACTTTAGGCTGGGTGAGGTGGCTCATGCCTATAATCCCAGCACTTTGGGAGGTCGATGAGGGTGGATCACCTGAGATCAGGAGTTCCAGATCAGCCTGGACAGTATAGTGAAATCCTGTCTCTACTAAAAATACAAAAATTACCCGGGCGTGGTAGTGCGTGCCTGTAGTCCCAGCTACTCAGGAAGCTGAGGCAGAAGAATTGCTTGAACCCAGGAGGTGGAGGTTGCAGTGAGCCAAGATCATGCCACTGCACTCCAGCCTGGGCAACAGAGCAAGATTCTTTCTCAAAAAAAAAAAAAAAAAAAAAAAAAAAAAAAAAAAAAAAAAAAAAAAAAAAATTCTTTAAAAAAAAAAAAAAAAAAAAAAAAAAAAAAAAACCTGTATCTGACCAGACTCAATGTGATTAAGTCCTTATACAGCTAGTGCTCAACTTACGACCACGATTGGTTCTGACAGACCGGTCGTAACACGATTTGGTCATAAGTTGAGCAGAGATGGTAGTGCTGCCAGAAGCTGGTCCGCACTGTCGTACGCCCAGCTGGGCAACGTTTGCGCTGCCAGACGCGGAGCAGTCGTGGCTAGCGATTGTGGTCGTAAAGTCAAATGGTTGTAAGTTGCATAGGTCGTAAGTCGATCAATACCTGTATTTTAAGGATTAACAGATAGTAGAATTCTGGAATGATTTGATCTTGGAATACCACTCCTGTTATATTCTCTAATCATTATCCTTTTCTTCCTCATTGCAGGGAAAGATTTCTGTTGTTAAATTATAAAGACAAATTTGAGCCTGGCATTCTACAGCTGAGTCAGTGGTTTAAAGAAGGAAAGCTAAAGGTAGAACTTCTATTATTTATCAATATAATTCTTCCTGTTACTTGATATAATTTGGCGTGTTAAATGTACTATAGCAAACATATTAGTTTTATTATAAAACTTCCTACAAAAGTATACTGAATATTACAAATTAACTCTACCTCCCATGTGAGTATAGCCTCCTGATTAAGAAACTCTTGCTTATTATTCCCTTGAGCTAAAATTTTCTAGCCTTACTTTCCATAGATTATATTACAGAATCAATAGGTTTTCACCCAAATGTAAAATGGTTATGTTATAACCATTTTACATTTGTTATAACAATTGTTATATTAATTTAACAAATATTTATGGGATGTTACTCTGTGTTAGAACTGTGCTTTCTCAGGAATCATGTAAGCACCTCCCAATGCTTATACCATCATACTTTTTCCCTGGACATTCTAATATATCTCTTAATTGTTGATTGAAAATCAGGAGTTATTAATCTGGGGTTCTGACATACTGGTCTTGGCTATTTTTTTTTTGAGACAGATTATTGCTGTCTCACCCAGGCTGGAGTGCAGTGGTGCAATCTCAGCTCACTGCAATCTCCACCTCCTGGGTTCAAGCGATTCTCCTGCCTCAGCCTGCTGAGTAGCTGAAAATACAGGCATGTGCCACTCGCTCAGCTAATTTTTGTATTTTTAGTAGCGATGGGGTTTCACCATGTTGGCCAGGCTGGTCTTGAACTCCTGACCTCAAGTGATCCACCCACCTCAGCCTCCCAAAGTGCTGGGATTACAGCCATGAGTCACTGCACCCACACTGGCCTAGGCTATTCTTGAAACCTGCAAATGATAGGCAAGGTTGTACCTTTGTGTGCTTCTGTACTTTTCTTTCTTTTTTTAAAGACAGTGTATAGCTTGTGATCTGTTACTAATTAAGGAGAGTATAATAATGGGAAAATAGGATATTACTTTTAAAAAAATCAATCGATAGGAAACTTTTCTGGGCCATCTACATGAAATAAAGAATATCTATTTTTAGACAGAAAGTGCTAAATAGTATTGCTGACTTTTTTAAGTATGGAAACTTATATAGAAACACTGAAGTTCAAAGGCTATTAAATCTAGCTATTTTAATTTACAGATTAAAGAGACGGTAATAAATGGATTGGAAAACATGGGCGGTAAGATGAATGTAACTTATTTATTATATTCATGTGTTCAGCAGATAAAGTCTTTTTTTAAATTTTTGTCTATTTTAATTTAATTTTTTTTTTTTGAGATGGAGTCTTATGTCACCCAGGCTGGAGTGCAACGGTGCGCTTTTGGCTCACAGCAACCTCTGCTTCCTGGGTTCAAGCAATTCTTCTGCCTCAGCCTCCCAAGTAGCTGGGATTACAGGTGCGCACCACCACACCCGGCTAATTTTTGTATTTTTAAGTAGAGACGGGTTTCACCACGTTGTTTAGGCTGGTCTCAAACCCCTGACCCCATGATTCACCCACCTCAGCCTCCCAAAGTGCTGGGATTACAGGCATGAGCCAC